ATTTATAAGTTGCTGTGTTGCAATAGAGACATCCTTAACCGACAACAGTTCCTTCCACTACACATGGAAGATGAATTCCAGACATAACCACAAACGGAAAAATTATTTTCTGTTCATAAACAGATGATTCATCATTGTAAAGAAGTTGATTCATTTACAGATTCAAAACCAACAATAATAAGATTAATCAGCTGCTCTGCTGCAATAGAGAGATCCTCAACCTAAAACAGTTCCTTCCAGTTAACATGGCAGATAAATTCAAAACATAAATACATCCTGCAAAAATATTTCCTGTTCATAAACAGATGATTCATAATCGTAAAGAAGTTTACTCTTTTGCAGATTCAAAACCATCAATGATAGGATTAATCAGCTGCTCTGCTGCAATAGGGAGATCCTCAACCGACAACTGTTCCTTCCAGTTAACATGGAAGAAGAATTTAAGACATAAACACATCCCGCAAAAATATTTCTTGTACAGAAACAGATGATTCATCATTATAAAGAAGTTGATTCATTTATAGATTTAAAACGAACAATGATAGAATTTATAAGTTGCTGTGTTGCAATAGAGACATCCTTAACCGACAACAGTTCCTTCCAGTACACATGGAAGATGAATTCCAGACATAACCACAAAAGGTAAAATTATTTCCTGTTCATAAACAGATGATTCATCATTGTAAAGAAGTTGATTCATTTACAGATTCAAAACCAACAATGATAAGATTAATCAGCTGCTCTGCTGCAATAGAGAGATCCTCAAACGACAACAGTTCCTTCCAGTTAACATGGAAGAAGAATTTAAGACATAACCACATCTTGCTAAAATATTTCCTGTACAGAAACAGATGATTCATCATTGTAAAGAAGTTGATTCATTTATAGATTTAAAACGAACAATGATAGGATTTATAAGTTGCTGTGTTGCAATAGAGACATCCTTAACCGACAACAGTTCCTTCCAGTACACATGGAAGATGAATTCCAGACATAACCACAAACGGCAAAATTATTTCCTGTTCATAAACAGATGATTCATCATTGTAAAGAAGTTGATTCATTTACAGATTCAAAACCAACAATGATAAGATTAATCAGCTGCTCTGCTGCAATAGAGAGATCCTCAAACGACAACAGTTCCTTCCAGTTAACATGGAAGAAGAATTTATGACATACCCACATCCTGCAAAAATATATCCTGTACAGAAACAGATGATTCATCATTGTAAAGAAGTTGATTCATTTATAGATTTAAAACGAACAATGATAGGATTTATAAGTTGCTGTGTTGCAATAGAGACATCCTTAACCGACAACAGTTCCTTCCAGTACACATGGAAGATGAATTCCAGACATAACCACAAACGGCAAAATTATTTCCTGTTCATAAACAGATGATTCATCATTGTAAAGAAGTTGATTCATTTACAGATTCAAAACCAACAATGATAAGATTAATCAGCTGTTCTGCTGCAATAGAGAGATCCTCAACCTAAAACAGTTCCTTCCAGTTTACATGGCAGATAAATTCATGACATAACTACATCCTGCAAAAATATTTCCTGTACACAAACAGATGATTCATCATTGTAAAGAAGTTGATTCATTTACAGATTTAAAACGAACAATGATAGGATTAATCAGGTGCTCTGCTGCAATAGAGAGATCCTCAACGGACAATAGTTCCTTCCAGTTAACATGGAAGAAGAATTTAAGACATAACCGCAATCTGCAGAATTATTTCCTGTTAATAAACAGATGATTCATAATTGTAAAGCAGTTTATTCATTTACAGATTCAAAACTAACATTGATAGGATTAATCAGTTTCTCTGCTGCAATAGAGACATCCTTAACCGACAACAGTTCCTTCCAGTACACATGGAAAATGAATTCCAGACATAACCACAAACGGTAAAATTATTTCCTGTTCATAAGCAGATGATTCATCATTGTAAAGAAGTTGATTCATTTACAGATTCAAAACCAACAATGATAAGGTTAATCAGCTGCTCTGCTGCAATAGAGAGATCCTTAACCGACAACAGCTCCTTCCCGTTAACATGGAAGATTAATTCCAGACATAACTACAAACCGCAAAAATATTTCCTGTACAAAAACAGATGATTCATCATTGTAAAGAAGTTGATTCATTTATAGATTAAAAACGAACAATGATAGGATTTATAAGTTGCTGTGTTGCAATAGAGACATCCTTAACCGACAACAGTTCCTTCCAGTACACATGGAAGATGAATTCCAGACATAACCACAAACGGCAAAATTATTTCCTGTTCATAAACAGATGATTCATCATTGTAAAGAAGTTGATTCATTCACAGATTCAAAACCAACAATGATAAGATTAATCAGCTGCTCTGCTGCAATAGAGAGATCCTCAAACGACAACAGTTCCTTCCAGTTAACATGGAAGAAGAATTTAAGACATAACCACATCCTGCTAAAATATTTCCTGTACAGAAACAGATGATTCATCATTGTAAAGAAGTTGATTCATTTATAGATTTAAAACGAACAATGATAGGATTTATAAGTTGCTGTGTTGCAATAGAGACATCCTTAACCGACAACAGTTCCTTCCAGTACACATGGAAGATGAATTCCAGACATAACCACAAACGGCAAAATTATTTCCTGTTTATAAACAGATGATTCATCATTGTAAAGAAGTTGATTCATTTACAGATTCAAAACCAACAATGATAAGATTAATCAGCTGCTCTGCTGCAATAGAGAGATCCTCAAACGACAACAGTTCCTTCCAGTTAACATGGAAGAAGAATTTAAGACATAACCACATCCTGCAAAAATATATCCTGTACAGAAACAGATGATTCATCATTGTAAAGAAGTTGATTCATTTATAGATTTAAAACGAACAATGATAAGATTAATCAGCTGCTCTGCTGCAATAGAGAGATCCTCAAACGACAACAGTTCCTTCCAGTTAACATGGAAGAAGAATTTAAGACATAACCACATCCTGCTAAAATATTTCCTGTTCATAA